TGCGAGGAAAAACCCTTGGAATAAAAAATGTGGAGTCGACAAAGGAGAGGTCAAGGAATTGACTCCTTGGCTTTGCCTTTTTTTCCTGATTGTGTTAGCCATAGGCTGGAGATATACAACTAAGGCCCTTGTCTGTTCAGTCACTGAAGGTAGAATGTGGGGGAAAGGGTCATGTTGTTGTTTTAAGGCTTCTGAGGAAAATAGTGCTCCAGTTCTCCAGTCAGTAAATAATAATCTTTCTCTGACAATTCAATGGTAGCATTGCTGAAGAACATATAGCTTCCAGGAAGACTAAACAGAGATTCGTAATCTTTCCTGCTCCTGTATATTGCCTTGAACTTCTCTGCAGAGAAAAAAGGGGCACTTAATTTACCAAGCTGTTCTTCTCAAAGTCTGAATGCAAAACATTGTGGTCAATACTGCTCTTAACATTGCTCGTGCTTTCTTGATCTCTCTCATGCTGAAAGTGCTTTACAACCTTCGTTCAAATGGAGCTCTGAAAATAATATGCAAATAGTTAGGCCTATATTGCAGGGTTCTCTCTAAGTTGCAGTCTTGTTTTTTATACTAGTTGATAGGGTCTGGATGTCTGCTAGCCATGAAAATAGTCAGACTAGTCTGATCTACAGGTAATGCTTGACAGTATGAGAAATATTTTTAATCAGACCTTCTTACAGCCTGGCCTGGACCAGCTGAAGGTATTTCTGATTTGTCATTTGAAGATGAGGAGAACATTGTGCGGCTTGTAGCCACCAACCTGTTACAAAAACGATTGGGCTTGGACAGACTAGAAATGTTACGTTTATAGTCTTCCTCATTCTGGATGTTTGCAGCAGAACAGAGATAGTGAAGATCTGCTGATAGATGGACTCTCTGCTCCTGAAAAGTGACGTGAACATGTTCTGATGCCTTTTTTTTGTGTGTGTATGTGTCTCCTTGACAAAGAAGTTGAACCACTGTGTTCTGGGTTCAGGTGTGACCGAAGTCGTTACAATAAGACAAAACTTTTGAGTAGTAGGTTGGGCGAGCACATTAGTTTTTACTTTCGATTTTGTTTGATACTATTGTTTAAATGAACTTCCTATACTGAAGCTTGTTTCTCTGTGGTTTGCAGAAAGGAAGGAAATGACTTGCACAAAGTTATAAAGCTAATGGACAACTTATAACTTAAATACATTTAGTACAGACACTATTTCTTGATATCGTTTAACAATTTGTTGGTTAAGTGCTTCCTTCAAGTTTACTTCGTTTTATGAGCACTGTTTTCTCATTGGACATGTGGGTGATAGCAAACTATTTTTCTTTGTTTTTATTTGTAGCAGACAGTAAAGGTATTGACAGCTCTTAGTATGTAGTTTTAAATGTTGAAAAGTACATAGTTGGCATGTGTTGCAGTCCATGGTTGTAGTGGGAAATCCTCAAAAGACAGAGAGCAACTGGGGTTTTTGTAACTGAAGTGCAAGACCAGAGGGCAGGAGGATCCGCGTTCTGTTCTTGGCTAAAATGGTCAGTGTCCTGAGATTTTTCAAGTTTAGAAACGTTTTGCACCACAAGTAAAAGGAAAACAATGTTCCACCAGTTTTTATCAGATAACACTGAATCCACTAATGCTCCATAATAAGTCAGTCTCTCTGTGATGAGTATTGTGGATAAACCTATAAACAGAGTTTGGTTTGTCAGCATCTGAGGAGGAGGACTGAGAGACTGGTGGAGACTCTTTAAAATTCCAAACTCTTCAGTAAATTATAAATATGACATGTTTTGCAATCAAGGTATATAAATCTCATGAATGGTCTTGGAAGTTAAACCAGCTGAGAAAAGGCTATGCTGAAATAATTTATTAATTTTCATGGTTATCAGTCTCTGAAATGTTATCAGCAGACTTACAAATTTGCACAGATATCTACTGCTATGAGGGAATTCTATTAACTGCAACTGTAGAGATCTGTTTCTTGTTATATAGATTATAAAATACTTAAAGCATGCTTATGGTAATTAAAACTTAGTGAAAATGGGGGATATTTGAGATTATGTCAGTATGATTGTTCCAAAAAATGGTACATTATGTCAATGAAATTTTAAATTAATTTTATCCACCCTACTGTGGTAGCTGTGAGAATACCTTTTTGTTGTAGATGTCTACTTTCTGGGTTAAAAAATACAAAGCACCCAGAGGTAAAATCTCTGCAACAGGCTCTAAGAATTGCCTGTGCTTGTTTCCCAACATCTTGTCACTGCTTTGAGCCAAAAGCTGCTGTATATTATCATATCACTAGCTGTCCTGTCAGTTGTGTCCTTTGCTGTCTATTTCACAGCAGAAAGCTGCAGTGGAGTGGGGTGTTTTCTGTTAAGAGCATTGGATGCTGCCGTCAGTGCATTGCCTGGATCCTCCATAATGAGAGTGAGTAGGAGGATTGTTTTATTGATGTGAGTTTATCAGAAAGAGCTAAGTAGCCAGAAAAAGGAAGAGAAGCCAAAAGTGAAATACCCAGAGAGGTAGGGAAACTTGAGGAGGAAGCAGGAGCTCACTTGGCCAAAAATTTCTTCTCATTCTTTATTTTTTGTAAGCTGGTAGACATGTTACTTTGAACTTGATAATTTCCATTTGTTTCCTAGATATACTGGTGCTGCAAAATAGGGTAGAGGTAATTGTTTTGATTATAATTGAACCTGCAGTGGTATCAGAAGCAATCTGGCTGAGTATCATGCAACTACTTTCATGCTACCCCTTTGGGGTGTTTTGTCTGCTTTTCTTATCTTCTACTACCTATGAATCTGTAGTAATGCACAGGCTTAGGTACTAGTTGTAAGCACTCAGTAAGTCTTTCTGGATGGAAATATTGCTCCAGTTCTTTCTTGGGGAATTCATTTGTAGACAAATGACAGAGGAAGAGAGGAATGGGATCCTGACATGGAATAGTGGAGAGCAAGGTGCACGAATCCCAGCAGTTCAGTAACAAGGGTCACACCAAGCTGTTTGGCACAGTTTGAGAAGGACTGTAGTTGGAACATGAAGTGTATTGCAGAGGTGGAGCATAGACAGACACACTGGCAACTTGTGGTGTGAAGGACATGGGGGAGGAGTGGCAGAGAGTCCTAAATCTGAGGAAGAGGTGACTGTGGTAGAAGAACATTGCAGGGAGAAGGAGATAAGTGGATTTTTAAAAAGAAAAAAAGAAAAAAAAAAAAAAAAGGCTAAGATCTCCTGTTGTATGCAGTAATTCAGTCTGCACAAGCTATTTATTGCACAGTTCCCTTAGTTGCAAACATGGGACTACAAGAGCAGAAATATGGAGAGAGATGCGATGAAGCTGGAAGCAGCGCAGTAGATGCACACCCCATGACAGTGGTGTGGAGAGGTGAGCAGGACGAAGTAGGAAGGAGTCGGAGCTAAAGTCACTATAGAAAGAAGCAAATAAAAATAGAGGGGAGAAACAGGCACAGGGCCAGGAGTGAGGATAACTTCCAGTGAAGAGGCAGCAAGACCAAAAGGGAGAGTTGTATGGGGTTTTAGTGTTTTGTTTTTGTGGTGATTTGTTTAGGTTTTTTCTTTTTTTTGCACAACAGTAGTTTAGTTTATTTGTAATATGGCACAATACCAGTTTGAAAGTAGCTAGGCAGTTATATATTGTATGTAGTCAACCTTCTTCAAGGCAATTAGTGTCTTATTGTATGTGTTCCAACTGCAACCATTGTGAATTTACTGTGACCAGAGGTAAACACTTCAAGCCTCTACCAACCTCAAGCTTCCAACGGAGGGCAGGTGCCTAATGAGAGCACAAACATGAGAAGATAGTCTGTCAAAGGCCTTGCAACCTGAATAGACAGCATTGATTCAGTGATGCAAGTCGAACTTGGTTATAGCTGGGTCAGACACATGCTAGCACCAGAATTCTAATAGCAGAACCAAAGCAGGTGAAGGCCTCTGTGGGACTGGAGTGTGTGCTTATATACACATGCAGATTTTGCTTCTGTATTCCTAGGTTTATACATGCAAGGAGTTGCTTTCTCTTGTATTTATCATACTGGAAATTCAGCCTACACCTATGAAGCTCAAGCAAGAAATGCAGTGCTTTTGTGAGGTGATGACATGTTTCAGGGCATCTTACTGTCTTCTTCAGGGGCTTTATTAGACTGATGTGGAGAAAAACTTTTTCGTGTTCTTATCTGCATTTTATTTAAAGTACATGTTTTGCAGGGTATTTGCGTTCACTAAACCTGTTGGTTGATTTATTTTGATACAAAATCACTATCTGTCTCATGTCCCTAAAATGTTGTGGTTGGTAACACTGGTATTGAACACTGAGTAAGTTAAAGCAAGTCTCCATAAAAGCAGACAAGTAAGGACTCGCCTGGGAACAGAATGGGAAGTGTTGTTCACTTGGGTTTGCCCACAGATAGTGTCGTGGATGCTCTCCTGCAGACATGGCTACTCCAGTACTGCGGTGGTCTGCAGTGAGTTCCATGGCTGTATCCCTGTAGAATAGAGTACAGGGAAGAAGGCAGATCACAGTTTCATTGCAAAGAGGAGCTATTCAGACTGTAAAATTGTACTGCTTGTATATGTTTAGAAATAAAGGGCAAATTTAGTTATGTTAGGAAAACTTTCAGGAAGGCAACAGGAAAATACTACACTTTGTGCATTTCAGTGGAAGAGTTCCCTCTTCAACTTGCCGTTGAAACTGTACTTGATCAGAAAAACAGTGGTTAAGCAAATACTAATATTGTTAGACTGGGATGCTGAGCATAAAATATGAATATCTTTATCAGTAACTTTGAGTGACATTCATTCATGTTCCTTTTCTATTTAGGAAGGGATTGTCTTTTTGGAAAACTGGTAATTTTGCACAATGACAAATAAAATGTCAGTTAAATTTCTTCCTGTCTTTAGGATCTGGTAAATATTTTACTTCCCTCATGTACTTCTGTGAAGAACAAGTGATACATTAGTACAAAGATACAGTAGTACAAAGTTTAAATACTGTGCTTAATTTTTATAGCCAGTAGGAATCAACTTGGTCAGCATTCATTCAAGTCCAAATGATCAGATGTTGTGGGCAATTGATAGCAAATGGAATGTCCACGTACGAGTTGGAATTACAGATGAAATGCCTGTAGGCACTGACTGGGAACATGTACCAGGTAAAAATTAATGCATCGGTTCCTTGTTCTTTCTGCCATTTTCTCAGTGTTGGTTTTCTTGTTGTTTTTTTTTTCCCTGTTGCTTTTTAAATTGCATAGAAATGCTTAAATCAAATATTTTTCTCAGCGATCAAGTGTGCTTATTTATAGGAACATAGGGAAGTACTTGGTAAGGGTTCGCTTTTAAAGAGGACTTTGTTTTTACTTAAAAACACTAAGTAGTTAGCTGGAGAGAGATCTGATTTTTTGATGAATTTCCATTGTGTGTTATTTCAGGCTGCTGCCACTGAATTAATAAACGGTACAGTTCCCTTTCAGTTAGAACTAAAGCAGTATTCCTAAGCAATAGGAGACTACTGTGCTGTGGGAAGTTTTATATTTAAATGTGATACAACATGGGGTTCCTATCAAGATGTGGCTAACAAAAACCTAATACTATTTTGCACACTTTCTGTTAATCGTGTGTGCTGGATGCATTCTAGACTAGGTAATTATGTTTTTTCTTTGCCTGTAAATAAAACTAAATTTTATTTGTTTCTACATGACTGTGTGTTGATGCTTTCTGCTTCTTAAAGATTTTTCACTGCATAAATGCATGGCACTTAGTTGCGGAGTACTTGCTTTCTTGTGAAGAGGAAGAAACAAAAAGTCCACAATGTCTATAGTGTTAATCATTTTTAGGCAGACTAACGTTATAACTGTTGGATTATTCCCCATGTGGTAGTAAAATGCAGCGGATGCTCTGAAAGTATGTTTTAAAGATCCTCTAATTGGCTGTTGCTTGTGGCTATGGCCACATAACAAAATGTATCCACAGTGTGATATCTTTATGGCCAATAGATGCAGTGAGTACAAAGTCTGCAATTAAAATGCTTTTTTGTTCACCAGTGCTTCATGTGCTGCAAGTGGCCTACTTTCTGATACTCTGCTTACACAGGGCCAGAAGCTTAGATTCCAATAGCATCTACTCTGTTCAACTCCCCTGAAGTCAGCGTAAGGAAATACGTAGTCCTAAATTGTCTTCTTGCCAATCCTTTCTTAGAAAGCCTCCTGGAAAACTAGGTGTTTCACTGTGCCTTTTATAATGGAGAGTTCTTCTCTAGTATTAATACAAGAATATATAAAAACTGTTACAGTCTTGCCATCTAATAAACTGTTCTGCAAGTGTATTTAGTATATAAGAAAGCCTGTGATTATTCCCTCTTCGTGTCCAATTATCTTTAGGTTTGCAGGCTTGTCAGCTGGCTATAAGTACAAGGACCGTTTGGGCACGCTGTCCAAATGGAGATGTAGCTCGTCGATATGGCATTACTGACAAGAATCCAGCAGGAGACTACTGGAAGAAGATTCCTGGAAATGTCTCACGTTTAACAGGCAAGTTGGTTCTGTGTGACAGTCTAAAACATTGTGATGTCTGCTTTGACATCTGCCTGATGGTGCTCAAGCTGACCCTGTGTAGGGAGAGCTGCATAATCCGAATGCTTTGTTGACTGTGAGAGTGTCACCAAGGGTGCTTTTATCCCATTGGTAAAAAACTTCTCTGGGTATAATTAGGAAAACAGATCCAAATATTATTTATTTAATGTTTAGAATTGGAACCTGCTACCTTAATTAAAAGATGGATAATTTATGCTTTGCAGTGACCCCTCTAGATGAACTGTGGGCGATCAGTGCTTCAGGATCCCTTCTGCAGCGCCTCACTAAGACCTTTAGCCATTCCCATAGTTTGCAGAAAAATAATGACACTTCTGTTCTGCTTCACCCTGATGATTTTGAAGATGAATGGGAAGTGATATGAAGTCTCTCAAGCTTGTGCAGCAGTGAAAAAAACAGGACAGACTTTCTGTAATGTATGTACAGGATCTAAAAGCCACTCATACTGGACCTGTGATATTAGCACTTTTATATTGAAAAAGTGACCTGGTAAATAGCCCCCAAGCTGTGAGTTCTGATATTTGTTCCATTGTCTCTTGGGAGACTCTTTAGGTGTGGCATACTGCAATTGTTATACTGTACTACTGTAGAAGCTCCTTTGGAAATATAACTCTTAAGTTAATCTTACTAGCAATGAAAGTGATTATTTCACAACAGCATGCACACTAATACATGTGTACTTATTTTGAGAAGGAATTCTGTTGCATTAAATATTTCTCTACAGCAGAAACATTAAGCATTTCTCAATTTCTTCTTGTACTTGGAACTCCAAATTGATGGGAACGCTCTCTGACTATTGTACGTGTATTTAGAATTATTTTCCCTTGCAGCACGAAAGAAAATATGGCAAAGTATTTCTTAGTAAGATCTCAGAATATCATGATTACACAGCATTGGTGTTGAAATGAACCTAGTTTGATCCTTTTCCATATAAATATCTGCAAGGCTATACTAACTTTCCATTTCTAGAAATTTGGTTCATAATTTGGCTTCATTCACAAGGGAGAAGTTTGGATTACACCTAATGTCAGGGGTACTTTTGCCCATTTCACACAGCCATCAGGAAGCTGACATATTTTGGGGGGTAAGTCCCACTTTGGAATAGGAAGAAGTTGCATGTT